TTGATCTGTCTATGCAAGTTAAGCCCCACTATAAAAGTGAAGCCATTTCATTGAATCTGTCTGTGCAAGTGAATCCCAACAGTAAAAGTGAAGCCATTTCATTGAATCTGTCTATGCAAGTGAAGCCCCACTATAAAAGTGAAGTCATTTCATTAAATCTGTCTGTGCAAGTGAATCCCTTCAGTAAAATTGAATCCATTTCATTGAATCTGTCTATGCAAGTGAATCCCGACAGTAAAAGTGAATCCATTTTATTGAATTTGTTTATGCAAGTGAATCCCGACAGTAAAAGTGAAGCCATTTCATTGAATCTGTCTATGCAAGTGAATCCCGACAGTAAAAGTGAAGCCATTTCATTGAATCTGTCTATGCAAGTGAAACCCCACTATAAAAGTGAAGCCATTTCATTAAATCTGTCTGTGCAAGTGAATCCCTACAGTAAAAGTGAAGCCATTTCATTGAATCTGTCTATGCAAGTGAATCCCGACAGTAAAAGTGAAGCCATTTCATTGAATATGTCTATGCAAGTGAATCTCTACTGTAAAAGTTAAGCTATTTCATTGAATTTGTCTATGCAAGTGAATCCCGACAGTAAAAGTGAAGCCATTTCATGTTAACTGTGTTTGAATAAATTGAATGAATTGAGTTTAATTCAACTACTGGTAAATTTAAATTAATGGTTTTACTTGTCATTGAAGACTGTATATAGGGGTGTAAGTATATGGTAAGCAATTCATTATAGAATTGTCAATGGTGTCAATATTGCTCTCAGTGCGATTTCATTTGCAATTTGAATCTCAGGTTGATCAGTTCCATGGACTTCCATCATGGAATGATTTACTTTAAATTAGAGATGTATAACCATATGAGATGTGTACATACACTGTATACACAGCAGGCTATACAAAGGTCAGATGTGTAAGTTCAATGTATACCACCCATGAAATGCCAAGCATGATATCTACATACTTTACTTCATTGGAATCTGAGCTCATAATCTACCTGTGTAATCCACAGTGACTAGCTACAAATGTACATGAAATGTGTTATGCAGATATTATATTCATTCTTTTAATTTTTGTTATTGGCTGGGATAGGATACATAATTAAATATGCATTCTCACTTTGCAAGTTTGTGAGGTGTATGTATCACCTCTTTGCCAGTATATACACCATCAAATGCTGAGTTGAATTTAAGCAGTCATCTTAAATAAAGCTAGATCTGTAAACAGTAGACACTCTTAGTCAGGAGGCTTTGTTTGCCTTTGAATTCCAGTTATATTGTTTGTCTAAAGAGATTAGATTTGGCAGCATATGTACTTTTAATAGTATCCAAAGCCTTTGGTTATTATTTACATTAAATTGACTGCATATCACATAAATGTTGTTATTAACATTTTAAATAAATGAATTGTGAGATTAACTGTATGGATGGTTGTTTGTTTTATTATTAAAACACTGCTGGTGTGGAAACCTGACAATATGCAAATAGCAGTGATTTATCTGGTTACTGTACACATCAGAATGCATTTTGAAGTCTACCTGTTCCATACATTGACATCAAGTGGTTGAACTATGACTGCATTTGTCTTGGCTGTATTCTTGCTATGCACACAAAAGTAAACAATCCTAACCTGACCTATATATCCTATATGTTTATCACTGTATTATCCAATATTTTTAACACTTACAATTATGGATTAAAACAGTGATTTTTCATTCCTACTACTGTAAAATCTATATTAGAAGCAGTAACTTCTATTAAAATGGTACATGTACAATGCAACAAAGATGCATTTCTATTAGAGCATCTACACATGTATTCATGATGGTAAAAAATGAGTTTGTGCTATCAGTAGTATTACAATCCAAAATGTAGTGAGAAATAGAGAACATTTAGTTCAATTGTTGAAAAAAGGATGTGTGCAGCTTCTATTATGGATGTGGCTTCTAATACAGATTTTACAGTACTATAAGGCCACATTTACTGTTTTATTTGTCATGATTAGTAACAGCCTTGAAAACATGCATTTAAATCATAGACCCCTTGGGCTATGATTGAGCCTATTTAAAGATTGAGTCATTGAAAAGCAAGTGATGCATGGCACAGTCCTCGTTAATTATCAAGTTTAATAAACATGTATATAGTTTTGTTTATAGTAATATAGTTGGAACATAAACATGTCTGAGATATTTTAACAATAAAATGATTGACATTTAGTCATTTGGTACCTGATAATCAAATGAGTACTTGTTCGTATTGAGAGTTACACACATGTATTCCTCTGGAACAACATTAATTAATACAAAATGGCCACCAGTCGCCCATTTTGAATCAGATAGTCAAACCAATACATCTGTATATCTATGACATAAGGGACGACGTCAAAAGATCGATGTCGGATAAAAAACTTAATTCCTTTAGTTTTTTTCCAAAACCCCCCTACCCTCCACTGAAACTTAATTGATAAATATTGATCATGGCGTCAGACTACATACACCATTAAATACAAATTGATAAACGGACAGTAGTTGGTTGTCGGGTGGGTGTAAAAAGATTTTACAAATGCACCTCATTTGACACACAGATTTACACTCGAACCAAACCATTTTTCTGTTGTTTTTTTCCCCCTTTTCGGTTATATTTGTCTATGATTGGATAGAAAAAAAAACGAACTACAAATACTCCAAGATTTGTTTAACTTCATTAAAAAAATAAAATCGTTTTTGGAGGATGGAAACTTTTTGAGGTCAAAACCCCCCACCCCCAAACTAAAGGAAATAAGTTTTTTATCCGACATTGATCTTTTGACGTCGTCCCTAATGTATAATGAATATTAAAAAATTGAACATAGTCAGTTAAAGAATGTCAGAGATATGGCACTAGATTGCTTTCAGTAAAACAAAATGGCCGCCAGTTGGACATTTTGAATCCGATCTGAAAAACAAAATGATGTGCATCAAGGTCCTATGTATGGTGAACCAAGTTGGATTCATCTGTAAACAGCCGAGATCCGGTTGATATTGGATGATTTTTCAGCACAAAAATGGCCGCCATTCAGCCATCTTGAATCAGATTGTGAAACAAATTGATGTGCACATGTATAATATTATGTATGTTATACAATGTATGTATGAAGTGTGAATGCAATCGGTCCAGGCATGTCTACGATATACATGTAGGTTCAGACGTACGCACGCACAGAAATCCAGTCCCTGTTTTCGGCCTGCATCTGAACAGGGACTAAAAAGATGTCTGCCAATTGTTATTTGCTTTGCTTTGCCAGCCACACACTATTATATGTACCGGGTATATTTTGTCACAGCAAAATAAAAAGAAATAAATTTGTTATGCTTTACAGTTAGTTAATTAACAATTGTTATTTTTTTCCTAGTGTTCCTTTTTACCTAGGTTCTTAATTCAAATAGAAACTAGATACGAAAATAATAACGGATGCAGCGAAAATGTAAGTATGGTCAAAAAATACATTGTTCATTATCTTGTTTTTAATACAAAAACTATTGTTTTTACTGAAAAGACAAGACACTTTAAAAATGTAAAAACAATAGTAATGTGAGTTTGACCACAAGGGGCGCACTAACAAAATAAAGGGTTTGGATTCAGAAATCTGTTTGATG